CTGTGGGAAGGTAACTAGATGGGGAGACTAATGGGCGACAAGAGTTATATTAGCAAGTTTTGTTATATAGATTCCTCTCCCTCTCCTACTGTCTCTGGGCTGGTAAAAGTCTAGAGTCCTCAGTGATGAAGAGTCTAGGCTTGCTTTTGGGCAAATGGTAGGGGAGAGGAGAGAGAGGTTTTTTTGTTTGGTTTGGTTTGTTTTTGCACCTGCTATTTCTCATTTGCCTTCAGCTCAAAATAATCTGTATGTCTAAGTGGCATATTTGGGGTGGCGGATGTGATGCCCTATGGGGGGTAACAGAAGAAGGGATGCCAGAGGGAGAGTCTGGAGAAGGAGGTGGCAGTAAATGGCTGTCATTGTCTATTGCTAACTTGTTTTCTGTTTTGTTTTGTGCAGTGACTCACCACCACCCCACCCCCCGCCCTTCCATTGTTTCCAATATCCACAAAACCCTGTCCCATACAATGGCCTTCGGGGTGTGGGATCTCAGCAAAGGAACAAGGGACTGTATCACACTGAGTGTGAGAAGCAGGAGGAAGCTGCCTCAGGAACACAGAGGCAGGACCCAAAGGCGGCGGAAGATGAAGGCAGCTGCGGTTTGGGTATGATGTCAGGTGAGCACAAGCGCACCTGCAAATCCTAAGAAATATTAGAAAGGGATTTACCTACCGGCACGTATGAAGGATGGAAGACAGAGCTTCAGGTGTGTGGTTCGCACATAGACAGAAAGGCTGATCCCAGGAGGTTGGCTGACTTGGTTTCATGCCAGTTATATGGACTTACTGGGGTATTGTTTGGAAAGAGCTAAGCGGAGTTCTGGGCACTGAGAAAGGGATCAATAAAGTGTAGCTGTCCTATTACTATCATTATCATCACAATGATGACTTGGGTCAGATAAAGCAGTAAAAAGATGAATGACTGATTTAAAATCTTTAAAGCTCTCTTTCCTCATCTTTTAAGTGGATAAAACTATAAATAGCCTATAGTGTTGTCGCAAGCATAGAGACAAAAGGAAAAACATACGTTCGTTTTAAAGACTACGGCCAACTCTTTCTTATTGAGTCTGCTCAGCTACCTCTTACAGAATTGACCGTTGATGAAGAAAATCCTCCTTGGGATCTGTGGGGAAGGGTGCCTTAGGCATTGCGCATCTCCTGTCTGTAGAGCAGAGTGTTTAAGGGAGGGAACAGAAGTCAGACGGAGCACTCTCTGTCCTGCTCCCTCCAGAGGCCACAGCCCACAGCCCCAGGAGGGGTGAGGCTGCAGGTGTTCCAGCAGCCAGGCGGGGCACGTTCTTGAGCCACCCTGTCATCTTTGTTCCAGGAGGTCAAACCCAACTCCAGATTCTTGCCAGGGCGGCAGAGCTGGTTTTGAATGATTTGGGAAAGTCAGTTAACCCCTCTGGCTTTCATTTTAAAAACTGAGTCGTTTTCTGGCACACGTGCCTCTGCTCGGCTTCTGCGTGTGGGAGATTGTCTTTTCCAGACACGCTCTTCCGGAGCCATGCGGGTCTCCCACCAAGAAGCGCGGTCTGCGTTCCCCTCCCCTGGGACCCCAGCAGGCCTCTGTGACGGCGGGGCCGCCGAGGTCACAAAGCCACACCCGGCTGTCCCTTTCCCAGGACACGAGCCATGGCAGCCCGGAGGTCCTGTGGGAGAAGGCTGGCAGCTCTGAAATTGCGGCCCGAGAGACCCCCGTGGAGAAACAGATGCTGTTCCAGCCCCTGTGAGGAGCCTTCAGCCCAGGTGCCAGGCATGCGCGTGAGCCCGGAGATGGTTCCTGCCCCAGCCGCCTGCCAACCCATGAGCATCTCTGAGCCCCAGACACCCAGCTGATCCCAATTTATCTTTAGAACCCCATGCGTGATAATAATAAAGCAAGTTTTAAAAGAGCTAGGTTTGGGGCTGATTTGTTTTGCAGAAATAGATCAGGGGAGCACCTCTTCCTTCCCCCCTTCCTCCCCCCCACCTCCCAACCATGTAATGCATCGAATGTGACATTCTTCCAACTCCTTGCTGAGATGTCTCAATGTGGCCTCAGAACCTTTCTCAACACAGCACTCCTGAAAGATTCGGTCATTATGGCCAAACGACCAAGCTCTTTGATTCTCCTGAACTGGAAGTCCTTTAATGTATCTTCCAGCTGTGGCATTCTATGAGTCTGTCACCTCCCAAGCAAAGGGAGGAACTCACAAACTACGGGGAACTAGAACCCAACAGTGTTAATAAACACAAATAGAAAACGGCCATCATAAACTCATTCCTTCGCAAATACTAAGAGGCAACATTGGGCCAGGCGCTCCAATAGGCAACAAGAATGGAGAAGAAATGGCTGTTTCCCAAGAGACGTCTAATCTTGAGATTAGCACTATATTGCTTTGCATCTAAGCCTGCACTGCCTGTTACCGTAGACGCTAGCTGGAGGCAGCTATTTGGATATAAAGTTTAGTTAATTCACATCTGCTCCAGTCATACCCACTCAAGTGCTCAATGGCCCCATGTGGCCAATGGCTGCCATGCTGGGCATCGGAGATGGAGATGTCATCACAAAGTCCTGTGGGACAGCTCTGGTCCTACGGGTCCCGTTGTGATTCTCTCCCAGTGAGACGAAACGGTGAGGCAGAGCTACATGATGTAAAGGACATGGAAACTCAGCACTGTTTTTTTTTTTAATTTTTTATTGTTATGTTAATCACCATATATTACATAATTTGTTTTGGTGTAGTGTTCCATGATTCATTGTTTGTTCATAACACCCAGTGCTCCATGCAGAATGTGCCCTCCTCAATACCCATCACCAGGCTAACCCATCCCCCCTCCCTCCTCCCCTCCAGAACCCTCAGTTTGTTTTTCAGAGTCCATCATCTCTCCTGGTTCGTCTCCCCCTCTGACTTACTCCCCTTCATTCTTCCTCTCCTGCTATCTTCTTCTTTTTCTTTTTTCTTAAAATATGTTGCGTTATTTGTTTCAGAAGTACAGATCTGTGATTCAACAGTCTTACACAATTCACAGCACTCACCATAGCACATACCCTCCCCAATGTCTATCACCCAGCCACCCC